GAAAGTTTGTTTACTGGCCAGTAATAAGTCACTTGTAAATTGACAGTAATTAAATTAGGGCTCAGTTAGAGTTCTCTCTTGTGTTGGTCTTCTTAATGTACTGTACTTCCAAGTTCACTTTTTCTCTAACAATGGTAAGCAGTCATCTATGATATAACCACCCATTATTAATTCTTTTTGTGTTTTTGATGGACATATTGTATTGTATAATATGTATACAGTATTTTAAGGAGAAAATATGCTACCTAGCCTAGAACTATATGTGGTTTCTCTCAAGGAAGGTTCCTTGATACAAAAGAGGGCTCTTGATCCAAGGAAATGGACTTGCTCTCCCTTTCCTTGAATTAAACTGGAGCTGTATGACCCCTAATGGTTTATCACTCCCAACATGAATATAATAATAATAATATGAGTGAGTGAGTGCAGTTGGTTACATGAATCAATGAGCTGTAATAGTATAGACTTATTAAGTGACATAGCAAGAAGTTGTAACTACGAACTATAGAAAACCTGCTGCTTTAAACACACTAGAAAGTTTCTCTTTCACAAAGTTCTAGATAAACCACTGGAGCCTTTAAAAACTTGACACTAGACTAAATACTAAAGACAAAACACTACTAATATAGCTCTGTTCAGGTGGTATATATAGGTAATTACATGTTGAATGACCAAAAATACAAGAGTTGTAGTTCAAGTGGATGTTTGTGTGTCTTTGTCAGATGTAGCACTGGAAGAAAGTGAGAAGTAGTGTGTGTCAGATGTGCTGGAAGAAAGTGAGAGATAGTGTGTGTCAGTTACGCTGGAAGGAAGTGATAGTGTGTGTCAGATGTGCTGGAAGAAAGTGAGAAACATTGTGTGTCAGAAGTGCTGGAAGAAAGTGAGAAACATTGTGTCAGATGTGCTGGAAGAAAGTGAGATAGTGTGTGTCAGATGTGCTGGAAGAAAGTGAGAGATAGTGTGTGTCAGATGTGCTGGAAGAAAGTGAGAGATAGTGTGTGTCAGATGTGCTGGAAGAAAGTGAGAGATAGTATGTGTCAGATGTAGTGCTGGAAGAAAGTGAGAGATAGTGTGTGTCAGATGTAGTGCTGGAAGAAAGCGAGAGATAGTGTGTGTCATAGTGCTGGAGAAAGTGAGAGATAGTGTGCAGATGAAGTGCTGGAAGAAAGTGAGAGATAGTGTGTCAGAAGTGCTGGAAGAAAGCGAGAAACATTGTGTGTCAGATGTGCTGGAAGAAAGTGAGAAACATTGTATGTCAGATGTGCTGGAAGAAAGTGAGAAACATTGTATGTCAGAAGTGCTGGAAGAAAGTGAGAAACATTGTTTCAGATGTGCTGGAAGAAAGTGAGAAACATTGTATGGCAGAAGTGCTGGAAGAAAGTGAGAAACATTGTATGGCAGAAGTGCTGGAAGAAAGTGAGAAACATTGTATGGCAGAAGTGCTGGAAGAAAGTGAGAAACATTGTATGGCAGAAGTGCTGGAAGAAAGTGAGAAACATTGTATGGCAGAAGTGCTGGAAGAAAGTGAGAAACATAAGTGTCATAAACCAGCCAGGGTCTCAACATAATGTATATCCAGAAATATGCAAGATTATTTTTAGATATCCTTTACTGCTAGGGTGGATTTAGCATTTAACATGATTATAATATTTTAATACGAAGGATATAATTTATTTGTTAAAAATTAATAAATAATCTGAATGTTCTGACTGAAGAATTCATTAACAGGTTGCATATCAAATCAACCTTGTTACATGCATACAAATTTGCATTATGCACAAGACTTCAGAATAAGAGCCTCTTAGTATAAAAGATAATGCAATTAATTACTGGAAAGAATAAATCACTTTAAACATATTGCTATCTAGGCAATATTATTAAGAGTTTGCAGTGCTTGGAAACAAATGTGAGGCAACTCTCCCAAATATTTTATTATCCCTTATGTTTTAAATCATTATTACAAACCTAAAAATATATGTTTGTATCAAAAATTATACTACCTCATATCAGTAACTGAGTCAAATATTGAATATCTGAAGTTTGTCTAGACTTAAGTAGTCTTTGTATTAGGTTAAGTTTACCCGAAATGCCATGGCATGATAGTGGCTTTCTTTGTACCAATCAAATTATTAAATGTAAACACACATTGTAACCTTTGCAAAGAGATAAATTTTTGATTTTGATATATTTTAAGTGATAAGGTGTTTCATGCCTGCCAGGGTGAAGTACAGTATTGTACAGGGGTAATTCTGATGATTGTAGAAAGGTTGAATTTGAAGATAATAAGATAATAGTATAACAGCTCTAGTTGTCAATAAAGTTGGTAATCTTACTGTAAATAGTTGTCAATAAAGCTAGGATCCTTAACTTGTCAAACCATGATTATGAAAAAAAAAAAAAAAAAAAAAAAAAAAAAAAAAAAAATATTGTCTAGTGGTGATTACAATGTTTTAGGTCAGAGAACTTAGATTTGAAACTTATGATTATGAAAGACAAAACGTTGTATTACATACGAGTGACCTGTGGTGAAGTGACACACAGTGATCGAGTTCAGAATAGCAGAGGGTTATCTGTCCAGCGTCCATACTGAGCTTCTATATACGACACTATTGGCTCCCAGCTAACAATGATAGACACACATCATGAATTATTCGGAACATAATGCTATAAAAATTATCATTTTGTATAAATTTCAATTAGTGATAATAAAATTGCCTACAATAAAAGTGCAAAATATTTAATTATGTGTTGGTGCAATTTATTATCCCAAAACAATAGTTGATGTGATTTTTTTCCACACAAATTGTGTCAAATCAAGTCAGTTGTACCATACTATTAGAACAATTTAAAATTCTTGAACAAAATATTTGATATCCAGATGTATTGGTTTCAAGTTAACTGTCATTTTAACAGTAAATAAAAATGGCTTAATGTACTGCATCTCTGTCTATTTGCAGATTCTTGAAAAAAATTACATCTATCACTATTTAAAAGAAACAAAGTATATCTCAAACTGTTTAAGGATGAGAAAAATGTACAGTAATTTTCTGCATTGTATACTTAACTAGCCTGGTTATTTGAAATTATGCTATGGAACTGTTCATAAAGTCAGAGGTCTGCTATAATTGCAACTATTACAAGTGTGCCACCACTACTGCTGGGACTTTAATATTAATGTATGACAAGTGTTAGGTTGCAACTATTACAAGTGTGCCACCACTACTGCTGGGACTTTAATATTAATGTATGACAAGTGTTAGGTTGCAACTATTACAAGTGTGCCACCACTACTGCTGGGACTTTAATATTAATGTATGACATGTGTTAGGTTGCAACTATTACAAGTGTGCACCACTGCTGCTGGGACTTTAAAATTAATGTATGCAAGTGTTAGTATGCAACTATTACAAGTGTGCCAACTACTGCTGGGACATTTAATATTTTAATGTTTGACAAGTTGTTAGGTTGCAACTATTACAAGATTTTGCCACCACTACTGCTGGGACTTTAATATTAATGTATGACAAGTGTTAGGTTGCAACTATTACAAGTGTGCCACCACTACTGCTGGGACTTTAATATTAATGTATGACAAGTGTTAGGTTGCAACTATTACAAGTGTGCCACCACTACTGCTGGGACTTTAATATAATGTAGGACAAGGTTAGGTTGCAAACTATTACAAGTGTGACCACTACTACTGCTGGGACTTTAATATTAATGTATGACAAGTGTTAGGTTGCAACTATTACAAGTGTGCCACCATTACTATTGGGACTTTAATATTAATATATATGACAAGTGTTAGGTACAACAAAGACCTCTTCACTCTGTACAAAATATTTCGTCATTGAAGAAACTATAAGCATAAAGAGTAGTCCAAATTTATTAAAATTTTATATACAATGATAGATTTAGTAGTCTTTTGTACTATGTTAGATAGCTGGCCTATGCCTGTATCATAATTAACATACTGTACCAGAATTTGTCAACTTAATATTTGGCTAATGTTTTTTTTCGACACCAGCAGTCTCCCACCAAGGTAGGGTGATATTGGTCAAAATGTGAAGCATAAAAGTGGTTATACTGTACTGCACCAGTATATTTCTTGTAATAAATTGAATTTAAATCTAAATAAAGGATCAGTGATCATTCAAAAGCAGTGTGTCAGTTAATGACAATGACATGTCAGAAAAAAAAAAGGGACAAAGTCCCTTACAGAGATTAATTAAAAAAAGAAAACTTATCCTTAAAAAACTAAACGGAAAAACCAAAATTAAATTCTTGAAATATTTTTTAAATTAAAAAAAAGGTATGTATAAAAGGTCTTGCCCTTTTAAACAATAAAATTTTCGAAAAAAAAAAACAAATTCCTTTTACAAAAATTTGGAATTTACTTATTCTAAAAATACCTTCTGCAACAAATTAAACTAAAATTTTTTTTAATTGCACCAAAGGATATATGTATGAGGTTTTGAACCTTTGATATAAATAGTTTCCCCTAAGGTTAAAAAAATTTTAAAAAACATATTTTTTCATCAAAAGTTTTGAGTGCTAAAAAAATTTCTTCAACAAAAAAAAGGGCTTTTAGGACAAAATAGTCCGTGTTTTGGTTTAAAACCAAACGGCCCCTTTTATGAAAAAAAAGGTTTCAAATTAAAAAAAAATACAATTCAAAAAAGACTTAAAATAAGAGCAAAATTTTTTCTTTTAACTTAATTTAAAATACGTTTTTCACTTTCATGTACAGTAAAAAATTCCCAAAACCTAATTAATAATAAAAAAACTTTTTCTAGAATATTCTTTCACCTTTTACTGTATACCATTCTGTACACCATTATTTTACACCATTAGTGTAACCTTGTTTAACCCATTTCTGTATCCCCATTGCTGTAAATTTCCAGGAAAAAAACCCTTTTAGGGGCTTAAAATGATTATATTTGTTTGTGTCATCATTAATGGCAACAAAACCTTCAGTAACAGGTTGTAAGTTAGATACTCACCTCTGTAGTGGACGGTAATGGTTCTTCTTCTCCTGATTTCCGCCGTGCCACGGTAGCCTTGAAAAGCGTGTTCACAAAGGTTGACTTCCCCAAAACCCACTAGACCGGAAGAAGCCAGTAATATATTTTGTGCAAATGGTATTTGTTCTTCATGGTACAGTATTTGAGAAGTACATGTAGTATAAGGCTTATTCCATAAAGACATTTAAGATACTGTACAGTTTGAATAAAATAAAACTAATAAACTAATTTTTCAATAAATCTAAGATGACACAACGGGAAACACCATCTTATTTCCTGAAACTGCTGCAGGAAAGGGATAAAAAAATTTGAATAGTTAGCATTATTTAAAAAAATACATTTAGTTAGAAAGTGACAAAACAAGAATTGGCAGGTGATATGTGAGCCCCCTAGTGGATGTAAAATTTCTGTGCTTTTTCCCTTTCCCCTTTTTTTCCCCATTCACTCTTAAAACAGTTCCCCAAACCTTTTCATGTGTTTTGATGAACGTCCTCTTTTTCCCTTTGTTTAGATTTATTGCCCGTTTCATATGAACTGTTTTTTTTTTTTTTATTTTTTTTAAATTTTTTTATGTTTATCGAGCAGGGGAAATATGACAAGATATGGGATGCCGGGAGCCCGCTGTTAATCCCATTTTTTTTTTTTTTTGTTGTGTGTGTGTGTGTCATCTTTCTGGCGTGCTCTCTTTAAATCATTTAGCCTTATTTTGATTCAAATGACAAAAATTAAAATATCACACTTTTTTTTATTTGCATTTGTTTATTTTTCTTTTTAAAAATTTGTTCAAAAGATTACCCCCTGCTACATCAAACACATGGTCCCTTCCCAAAGCCTCACCTTATTTTTAGATTTTTAAATTTTTTGTTTTACAGCAAAATAAAGTATGTATGTACAATTTGTACATATAATTTATAAAAAATGTGTTCTCACCTTTCGACGAAAAGGTTAAATGTGTAGCCGCGAGGGAGAGCTTTAAGTTAGTTGCTTGGAGGGTAAATCCCCACTGGGGTCACCCCTCGACGGAGAGACACCAGGCCCTCCCTGAGGCTCTTACCCTAATGCCAACCTCAGCGGGCCCTATACTTTTGTTAAAGTGGTGAGGTACCAGCGGAGACCGAAGATTACTAAAAGGGCAGTTAATGAGGGCCATTTATGGTGTTGAAGGTTATTAGCCTTTGGTTTAAATCTGGGGCTTGCATCAGGGAAGGTAGTATATCACCAAAATGTAAAATTGATGAGTACAATGGGAGTGTAGTTTGTACTTGGAGTATGGAGATGAGCTCTGCAAGTCACTCCCACAGCTCTAACTGTTGAAGGGAAACAACACAATTTTTATAATCTCTTTTAATGTGTATTATGTTTCCCCAAACGTACTGTATTAAAATTTTAACATCAGCAACCGGTAAAGATTGGGTTGTTTCAAAAATACAATGTAAGAAAAGAGAAAAAGAAAGACTGAACAAATAACAAGCCCAAAGAGGGAGCCAAATTTTCTTTTTTTTTTTTAAATAGAAAACCCTTTTTGGAAAAAAAAATATTTTTAAATGTGGGGAATTTAACCGAAACGGTCCAAGCAGATCTACGTTCACTGTGTATACTCCAAAAAGTAGCTACGTTTTTTTACATATTTTCAAATATAACAAAAAAAAAGTGGGGCCCAATCTGGGAACTCCCGGGTTTTCAAAACGCAAGAAGCCCCTATCACGAGCCTTTTTCCATCCCATGGAGAGGGGCATGGACACGGGGGTCGTCCCACATTTTTAAAAAAACAGCAGCCCCACCCACAAAGGGGGCAGTAAAGCAAAGCAAAGAACTACAGACCCATAGCATAACATCCCTTCATAAAAATCTTTGAAAAGGGGGCCCAAGAAGCAAGTCACCCCCCTAAAACCCCCCATTACAAACCCCGGGCAACTGGTTTAGAACAGGTCGTCCTGTCGTCTCAACTATGGATCCTACGCAAGGGCCTAGATCACTAGAAGACAAAAAGAATGCAGATGTAATTATCAGACTTTGCAAAAGCCTTTTACAAGTGTACCGGGTAATAGGGACCCAAAAAACGTGCTAAAGGGAATAACGGAAAAGTCGGCGATGGATCATAATTTCCTCAAACAGAACACGAGAGTAGTAGTCAACAGAGTAAAGTCCGAGGAGCATGGGAAAAACTCTGTTCCAAGGACAGCTGCCTCCCCCTCTTGTTCCCCATCCTCTATCTGACATAGACAAAGGTGTCGCCACACACCGTGTTTCCCTTTTCGATGACCCGAAACTGCATGACAGTTTTCCATTGCAGGGCACTGCAAGGCTTCCCGGCGCATCAACCAAACTTTCGGGGGGCTGAGAAAACAATTGAAGTTTAACGATGAGAAAAATTCAATTTCTCAGTTGGCAAACAAGGGAAAATTTAAAACGTCATCAGAGTACAAAAAAAATTCTGGCCACAAAAAAAGAGCGAAAAAACCAACGAAAGACCCGGGAGTGATCATGTCGGAGGATCTACCTTTAAGGCCATAAAAATTGTTCAATCGCTTGCTAGAAAAAAAGACAGGGTGGTAATGAGCCTTCAAAACGAGGGATGCCAAGCCCCTGTGACACCTAGGTCACTTGTTTTTCTGGCTGGAAATTTTTGCACACTAAAGACCTTTCAAGGCAGGGGAAATTGCGCCTAGAAAAAATGTACGAGAATTCACGGCGCGCATAAAGGAGATAAAACACCTCAATTACTGGAGCGCTTTTGGGGTTCCCAAAAATGTATTCCCCGGAATGCAGGCGGGAGAATCTATTATATACACCTGGAAAATCCTAGAGGGGGCTAGTACCGAACTTGCCACGAAAAAACTCCTTCGAAAGCAAAAAAAATTTTGGGAGACACAAAATCCCCCCAATGAAAGAGGGTTCACTGCCGTTAAGAGACCATGCAAAAAGGTCAGGGGCCCGGACTTTCAAAAATGCCCCCCCAGCTACTAAGGGGGGTTACCAACAGACCCCGGCAGTTTCAAGTGGCACTGGGCAAGCACCTAAAAATCGGTTCCTGACCAGCCGGGTGGGCTACTTTGGTTTTGGGGCACCCGCAGCAACAGGGGCCTGGTTTATCAGGGTCCCCGATCCCCCGGAGGCCCGGCACAGACCCGGGGCCCTGGGGGCGTTGACCCCCCGGGAAATTCTCCAGGGAAATCCCGGAAAAATGTCAGCAAGTTGTGGAAAGGCGTGAGGCTGACACTGCTGGCTGCATCAGTAATATTTTGTCAGCAATTGTGGAGGGCGTGGGCTGACACTGCTGGCTGCATCGTAATAGTGTAATTGTGGAGGCTGAAGTGACACGCTGGGTCATCAGTAACTAGGGGTCGCAAAGTTGTGGAGGGGGTGAGGTGACATGCTGGGTGCATCAGTAATATTTTTCAGCAATTGTGGGGGCTGAGGTGACACTGTGGCTGCATCAAATAACTGTGTAAGTTTGGGGCGGGGTGACACTGCGGCTGCACATAACTAGGGGTCGGAAGTTTGTGGAGGGGTTTAGGCTGACACGCGGGTGATCAGTAACTGGGTCGAAAGTTTGGGGGCGTGGGTGACATGCTGGCTGCATCAGTAACTAGTGTGTCAGCAAATTGTGGAGGGTGAGGCTGACACTGCTGGCTGCACAGTAATAGTGTGTCGCAATTGGGAGGCTGAGGCAATCTGGCTGCACCGTAACTGTTTTCAGAAGTTGTGGGGCGTAGGGGTACACTGCGGCTCATCGTAATATTGTCAGAAGTTGTGGAGGTTTTAGGTGACACTGCTGGGTGCATCAGTAATAGTGTGTCAGCAAGTTGTGGAGGTGAGGCTGACATGCTGGTGCACCGTAACTAGTGTGTCAGCAATTGTGGAGGCGTGAGGTGACCTGCTGGCTGCATCTAACTAGTGTGTCGCAAATTTTTGGAGGGGAGGCTGCCTGTGGCGGGTCAGTAACTAGGTTTTTCAGCAAGTTGTGGGGCGTGAGGTGACACTGTGGCTGCACATAACTAGTGTCAGAAGTTGTGGGGGGTGAGGGTGACATGCTGGCTGCATCAGTAATGTGTGTAGCAAGTTTTGGAGGGTGAGGCTGACATGTGGCTGATCATAAACTAGTGTCAGCAAGTTGTGGGGCGTGGGCGACACTGGGCTGCTCGTAACTTTGGTGTCAGCAAGGTTTTGGAGGCTGAGGGACACTGTGGCTGCATCAAATAGTGGTCCAAGTTGTGGGGGGTGAGGCTGACACTGCTGGGTGCATCGTAATAGGTGTTGCAAAAAGTGGAGGCGTGAGGGTGACACTGCTGGGTGCTTCAGTAACTGTGTGTGCAAGTTTTGGGAGGCGTGGGCTGACATGCTGGCCCCGCATAGTAATAGTGTGTCAGCAGTTGTGGAGGCGTGTGAGGCTGGCAATGCTGGGCTGCATCAGTAACTAGTGTTTTGTCAGCAAGTTGTGGGGGTTGTGAGGCTGACAATGCTGGCTGCATCAGTAATAGTTGTGTCAGCAAGTTTGGAGGCGTGAGGTGACACTGCTGCTGATCGTCAGTAAACGAGTGTGTCAGCAAGTTGTGGTGGCTGAGGCTGAACACTGCTGGCTGCATCAGTAAACTAGTGTGTCAGCAAGGTAGTGGAGGCGTTGTGTGAAGCTGACACTGCTGGCGGCATCAGTAACTAGTGTGTCAGCAAGTTGTGGAGGCGTGAGGCTGACACTGCTGGCTGCATCAGTAACTAGTGTGTCAGCAAGTTGTGGAGGCGTGAGGCTGACACTGCTGGCTGCATCAGTAACTAGTGTGTCAGCAAGTTGTGGAGGCGTGAGGCTGACACTGCTGGCTGCATCAGTAACTAGTGTGTCAGCAAGTTATGAAGGCGTGAGGCTGACACTGCTGGCTGCATCAGTACTCGTGTGTTAGCAAGTTGTGGGGCGTTTGTAGCTGGACACTGCTGTCTGCATCAGTTAACTATTGTGTCAGCCAAGTTGTTTTGCGGCGTGAGGCTGACCCCACTGCTGGGCTGCATCAGTTAATGTAGGTGTCAGCAAGTTGTGGGGCGTGTGAGGCTGACAATGCTGGTGCTCAGTAACTAGTGTCAGCAACGTTGAGGAGGCGTGAGGCTGGACATGCTGGTGCCTGCATCTACTAGTGTGTTAGCCAGTTGTGGAGGCTGTGAAGACTGGACACTGCTGGCGGCATTCAGTAATATTGTGTCAGGAAGTTGTGGAGGCGTGAGGCTGACACTGCTGGCTGCATCAGTAACTAGTGTGTCAGCAAGTTGTGGAGGCGTGAGGCTGACACTGCTGGCTGCATCAGTAACTAGTGTGTCAGCAAGTTGTGGAGGCGTGAGGCTGACACTGTGGCTGGCATCAGTAACTAGTAGTGTCGCAAGTTTTGGAGCGTGAAGCTGACACTGCTGGCTGCATCACGTAACTAGTGTGGTCAGCATGTTGTGGAGGCGTGAGGCTGGGACACTGCGGGCTTGCTCAGTAACTGTGTCAGCAAGTTGTGGAGGCGTGAGGCTGACACTGCTGGCTGCATCAGTAACTAGTGTGTCAGCAAGTTGTGGAGGCGTGAGGCTGACACTGCTGGCTGCATCAGTAACTAGTGTGTCAGCAAGTTGTGGAGGCGTGAAGCTGACACTGCTGGCTGCATCAGTAACTAGTGTGTCAGCAAGTTGTGGAAGGCGTGAGGCTGGACACTGCTGGCTGACTCAGTAACAATGGTGTCAGCAAATTGTGGATGGGTGAGGCTGACACTGCTGCGGCATTCAGTAACTAGTGTGTCAGCAAGTTGTGGAGGCCGTGAGGCTGCACTGCTGGCTGATCAGTAACTAGTGTGTTAGCAAGTTGTGGAGGCGTGAAGCTGGACCTGTGGCTGCACAGTAACTATTGTGTCAGCAAGTTGTGGAGGCGTGGAATGAGGCTGGACACAGCTGGCTGATTCAGTTACTCTGTGTTTGTAGCAAGTTGTGGAGGCGTGAGGTGCCATGCTGGTGCATCAGTAACTTAGTGTGTCAGCAAGTTGTGGAGGCGTGAGGCTGACACTGCTGCTGCTCAGTAAACTAGTGTCAGCAAGTTTTGGAGGCGTGAGTGGCTGCTCTGTTCCTGGCTGCATCAGTAATAGTGTGTCAGCAAAGTTGTGGAGGCGTGAGGCTGACACTGTGGCTGCATCAGTAAACTAACGGGTGTCCGGCAAGTTTGTGGGGCGTTGAGGCTGACCACTGCTGGCTGCATCAGTAAACTAGTGTGTCAGCAAGTTGTGGAAGGCGTGTTGAGCTGACATGCTGGCCCACTGCTGGCTGCATCAAGTAAATAGTGTGTCGCAGTTGTGGAGGCGTGAGGCTGACACTGCTGGCTGCATCAGTAACTAGTGTGTCAGCAAGTTGTGGAGGCGTGAGGCTGACACTGCTGGCTGCATCAGTAACTAGTGTGTCAGCAAGTTGTGGAGGCGTGAGGCTGACACTGCTGGCTGCATCAGTAACTAGGCTGGGGATATACGACACACCGACTGAGGCCTGAGTTTGTCATCAGTTATTTTCTACAGTTGTCTTAAAGTCATCTTATCTTAAATTTCATGTTTTAAACGGCTCTTCAACAGACAAGAAACATATCATTCAGTGTAGTTCATTAGTAAGTAAGTAAGAGCAGAGCAGAGAGCAGATTGGTTGATCCGAGGCAGCAGCAGCAGCCTCACACCTAACACAATTTGCTCTCTGGACACCGAGGAGTCAAGGTCAAGGTTGTCACCAGCATCAATAAAACTCTAACATTATGATGGTAAATTTCATTTTGTTTCTTCTTGAGATTGTATTATATTGTGCATTTTGCTACTTTATTCTTCCTTGACTCTGAACTTATTATAGTCTTGAAATATTCAGTGAAAATACAGTGAGTGCATGGCAGGTGACAAGGTTCCTCACATTATACAGATGGTGTACTGTACTGTAAGCAGGTGACAGACAAGCAGCCACTGGTCTTATCTACACACAAAGAGACTAATCAGTGAGTACATGATGAAGGACCACAGTGGCTTCACGTTAACTGTGTTAATCAGTACGTGATGAAGGATCACACTGGCTTCACGTTAATTGTGTTAATCAGTACGTGATGAAGGACCACAATAGCTGTACGTTAACTGTTTTGACTGCTGCCTGACGGAGTGAATCTGTTAGTATAAGTTTTTTTTATTTATTAATTTGAACATGATACAGAGAAGTACAAGGAATACAATTTTTAAAGTGCAGCATGCCAAAGTCCCTTGTATACAGAGCATTATGGGCAGGCTTAAAATTAACTTAAGATTACCTAAGCAATGATATATTCAGTGGTACAAAAATTATTGTAAAACAGATAACTGGAACGCAGGAGGGAGAGATACATGATTATATACACCTGGAAATCCTAGAGGGACTGTACCGAACTTGCACCGAAAATCACTCACTACGAAAGCAAAAGACTTGGCAGACGATGCACCATCCCCCAATGAAAAGAGGGGTTGTCACTAGCACGTTAAGAGGCCTTACAATAAGTGTAAAGGGGCCCGAGACTGTTCAAACTGCCTCCCAGCACACATAAGGGGGATTACCAACAGACCCCTGGCAGTCTTCAAGCTGGCACTGGACAAGCACCTAAAGTCAGTTCCGGATCAGCCGGGCTGTGGCTCGTTACGTGGTTTGCGTGCAGCCAGCAGCAACAGCCTGGTTGATCAGGCTTGATCAAACCAAAGGAGGCCTGGTCACAGACCGGGCGCGGGGGGGGTTTGACCCCGGAACTCTTCCAGGTAAACTCCAGGTAATTTAGCACAAATGAGTATTACAAAGACAGGTTATATGGTTATTTACTGTGTTGCTGTGTAATCACTAGAATGGAGTATTATGTTAGGTAATGAAGTTAAACAGAAACAAAGTTTGATTGGATCACAGGTTGACATTTATGAGATACAATAATGAGATACATATATGAGATACAATTTATGAGATACAATTATTCAGTATTTATTTAGTTGTGGGTGAGTAAGTGATTTTTGAGAAGAGACTTGAATTTATAAACAGACAGTGTTTCTTTTATATTTACAGGTAATGAATTCCAGATTTTAGGGCCTTTTATGTGCATTGAGTTTTTGCATAGTGTGAGATGGACACGAGGAACATCAAAGAGTGATCTGTGCCTTGTGTTATGGTCATGTGTTCTGTTGAGGTTGGTAAGGAGATGTTTGAGGGGAGGGTTAATATCAGAGTTAAGTGTTCTATGTATGTAGTAGGTGCAGTAATAAGTATGGATGTTTTGTATTGTGAGTATTGTGTGTATTGTCAGTAGATGTAGTACGGTCACTGCTTGATCCGAGGAAGATATCCCAGTATACCGTTTGCTCAGCCTCTTCTATCTTAATGCACACAGAAGGAATAGTGGAAGGTGGTCACAAAATTTCAGTGCCGAAATATATAAAAATGTGCATACGTATGTTCCAGTAAGAATTTCTCTACGTTCGTGCACTGCATCCACATATGTAAATACACAAGTGCATACATACATACACAAATATATACATACATGTATATATGTGTATGCGTATGTATCCATTTATATATTTACATGTGTATTTTTATGTATGGATAATAATAATATATTTACTACAAGTACATGTACAAGGTATACAGAGCATAGCTGACATCAGTAACCCACACCACTCTACTAAGACCTAGGTACCTATTTTACTGCTAGGTGAACATGGACAGCAGGTGTCTTAAGGAAACGTCCTAATGTTTCCACCTGTACCGGGGATCAAACCACGGACCTGAGTGTGTGAGTTGAGTGCGCTAGCAATCAAGCTACGAGCATGTGCAGATAGGCCTAGGAATTAGGCCCCGAAAAGGTTAACTGGAGTACATCTGGGTTTATATCTACAGTTGACTATCTGTTGCAAGCACGTCTAGGAAATTTGCTGAATATATCTGGTATCCTATTTGCATTAATAAAATGCCTTGACATATCGCATAGAGCGGAGGGAGGTGTGGTGTGCATAGGGGGTGTGGTGTGGAGTGGGGTGTGGTGTGGAGGGTGGTGTGGGGGTGGTGTGGAGGGTGGTGTGGGGTTTGTTAGAGGGTGGTTGTGGTGTGGGAAGGTGGGGTGTTGTGGAGGGTGTGTGGTGTGCATAGGGTGTGGTGGTGACGTTGGGGTGTGGTGTGGGAGGGTGGTGTGGAGGGTGGTGTGGGGTGTAGGAGGGTGGTGTGGAGTGGAAGGTGGTGTGGGGTGGAAGGTGGTGGGGTGTGGAGGGTGGTGTGGAGGGTGCGTGTGGGGTGTGGGGGTGGTGTGTGGGGTTTGTTGTGGAGGGTGGTGTGGAGGGTGGTGGCTGTGGGGTGTGACGAAGGGTGGTGTTGGGGTGTGGCGGGGGGATGGTGTATACCAGGTTTGGCGTGCTATGAAGCACATCTGATAAGCTGCCTCTCACTAGGTGTGTCAAGTGTGTGTCAGGGGGAGGTGTTGTCAGAGGCGGTCTGTAAGGGTTGTGTGTCAGAGGAGTTAAGTCAGGGTGTGTGTCAGGAGGTTGGTGTCGGGGAGGGGTGTATGTGAAGGGTGTGTGTCACGGGAGAGGGTGTGTCATGGAAAGGGGACGGGAAATGAATGGGATGGGAGGAGGTAAAGATAGGGAGGGAAAGAAGTCATGAAAATGATGACTCAGGTGGTGTATAGTCAGGACAAATCCTGCAATGTTGAGACACTTGTCTCTTCACTCAGCTGTCTGTAGATGACGCGGTTAACTCTTCTACAAAACGTAGTTCACACGTAGATGGTGACTGGGAGGTGGAAACTCATTGATTGCACTGTGGTATAGCTACCAGTGTGCTCTGCTACTACTTACTTGTATGATAATACAACACACCGAAATTACTAATGTTCACTTTACGTACAACTTAATGCCCAGCTTATTGTTGATCAGTACTCTATGATGTGTGTGTGTGTGTGTGTTTGTTACCCTTTTGTCCTTAGGCCAACATGTCGATTAGACATAGGCCTGTTGTTGTGTGTGTAGGTTGTGATGTGTGTGTATGTGTGATGTGTGTGTGTTTCTATATATGTGTGTGTGTGGTGTGTGTGTGTGTGAGTGTGTGTGTGTTTATATGTGTATGTGTTATGTGTGTGTGTAAGTGTAGTGTGTGTTGTGTGTGTGTGTGTTGTGTGTCTGTGTGTGTGTGTATGTGTGTGTGTATATGTGTGTGTGTTGTGTGTGTGTGTATGTGTGTGTGTATGTGTATGTGTGTGTGTGTATATATGTGTGTGTGTTGTGATGTTTAGTACCATTTTGTCTAGGCACATGTTCAATAGGACACTAGGCATGTTGTGTGTGTGAGGTGTTAGTTTCCATGTTGTCTAGGACATGTCAATAGACACTTGGCCTGTTGTGTGTGGGTAGGTGTGGGTGTGTGTGTGTGTGTGTGTGTGTGACGTGTGTGTGCTGTGTGTGTGTACTTCACCTATTTGTATCACCTATTTGTGGTTGCAGGGGTCGAGTCCTAGTCTGGCCCCGTTTTCTTCACCGGTTGCTATAGGCCCTCTCTCTACCCGCTCCATGAGCCTTTATCAAACTCGTCTTAAAACTGTGTATGGTTCCTGCCTCCACTACGTCATTTTCTACAGGCTATTCCACTGCCTTAAACTCTATGACTGAAGAATATTCCTAACTATCTCTCTGACTCCTTGTGTCTTGA